GGATTGCCTTGAAGTGAAGTGTTGGACCGTGCGGCTCACCGTCCTGCAACCCGAAAAACGCGTGCAGAGCTTTGTCTTATCATTCGGCAAATATCATCAGAGAATGAAAAAAACTTTTAACGAAATATCGCAACAATATACAAAGCCAACTCTAAAGCAATCCTGAGTTCGTTTCTGATGAGATCTATTCATGAATTCTGTTAAACATATCTGTGCTTCGAAATGCAAAGCCGAGCCAAGAAAATGAAACTAGCATGAGCCGTTTAAATGCAATTAGACGAATGCCAAAGTAGATGGCAGACAAAGGCAAAAAAAATAAGGATGAAGTGGAATTTTTTAATATTTTGTTTACTTTATTGCGACGAAATGCTAATAAGAATAGTTTGTTTTTAAGTTTTCATGAGTTAATCGTTGTCGAGATATAACAGCTTCGAGAAGTTTCATATTACAATGATAACAACTTTGTGGATGGCTAGCTGAAGAAATTAAATTTACTCTACTCATCTAGATTGAAGCTTCGATCTCACTCAACAGTATTCGAACCATGGTCGTGGGAATGTATTGTGCCTTAAGCTTCATGTCCACTCTTCGAATGTCGCTATAGGGACTGATAAGGGTATAGGTAGAAGTCGAGACTGCAGTCCAGTAATGAGGAGTATGGCCTTCAGACATGCAAGGTAAATACATTTCAATGCAAAAATCAATAATTTTTGTGGGAAGACCGCTATCAGTTGTATGAGAAACCAGTTATAATTGATATGCCTAAAAACGCAGTTACTAGGACAGAATAACATACTCGTTGATATAATACATTAATGGTAGCACTCATATGGGCCTAGTAATTGAGTAAGCCTTAATTATAAGATTGGAAGAGTGATAAGTAAAATAGTGGTATCGGCATGTATTGATATTTGGAGGGTTGTTTTAATAAAAGTTGCCAGCTGACTTACAAGGTATGGGCGCAGAAGGCAGTCCCAATGTGAAGTTTTTGCTAATTGTATTGCAATACCTTTGAAAGCTGAGGTGCAGCCGGGTACAGTTTGAGTCAGTTTGTATACGAGAGCCGAAGCAACCTTAGGGTAAAAATGTAAAAAATTGCACATAAGTCCGTTAAACGTGAAGCCTATTCTCATTTCGATCCAGTTCGTGTTCACATTAAATATAAGACAATTATACATGGACTTAGATAGATATGAAGATAAATCTGTTGTGGCCTCTATTTTGGTCGCAGTCTCCTTTCGCTGTATAGAATTGGTTTAACCTCGTTTTCTCAACTTAGTTTTGTTGTCAAGGCGGCCTAGTTGGTCGCACCTCATCCAAGGTCCTGTAATATGCTAGTTATGATAACTCCCAGCGTTGGAATATACAAAATGGTACATCCCTAGACATTTCATCAGCTTCTTAGTCGGCATCATCAATGAACCTTGCCAGTCTCAGCAACAAGTTACAACTTGTCAAAGAGACTGGTGAAGTCAATCCCTTGACCTACTTTCTGTCAAACGTTTATCCTGTCATTCCTTCCGTCCTGGCGCATCTTCCTGTAATAACACAAGGAAATGAAACCTCTTGTCTTTATCGACACCTTTAATATAGAGTCCTTGCGTAAATCTTATAGCGAGACAAATTAAAGAAATTAAAACAATAAAAAACGGAAAAAGTTTGTTGTTTTAATATGGCTACGATATGTAAAATCAAAGCCTTCAGCATATATGTAATAAGTTTATTATTAGATGAATAAGTGGTAAACATTTCCATAGCTAGCATGTAACAGACAAAAGCCAACCAACCTGGGCGATCGGGCAAAGCAAATAAATTAGCACAAACCTTAAGCAACTTGGGGGCGGAGGAGAGTGAAGCGAGGACTTGTCTAAGCACCTCATGCGTTTCATCTAATGTGAGAGTGACAGCCAAACCAAAGGCGAGGGCATCGAATTGGCGTCGCTCTGGAGCTTCCGCACGCACATCGATTGGTGTAGTCATGTCGAAGAGACGAGTGGCTCGACCATCAGTTGTATAAGACACTGGCTTTATTTGATGTGTCTTATCGGCAGCTCGGCCAGTGCTCGCCTGCTTGATAGGCGTGAGGAGGTCAGTAAGCAACTGTTTCAGCCAAACATGTACAGCCGCCTTCCAAGTATCTTGGTAGGACAGGTCAGAAGAATGGTTTGGCACAATGGCTTTGGAAGACTGACAAAAAAAATATTGACAATAAAAACAAATAATAATAATATTATAGCAAAAAACATACAATCGAAAAGAAGATATATCTGATCAATCAAGGGAAAAGTCAAATATTTATAATTCGAAGTGGTAGTCTCGAAACTCTACTTACCGTATTTTCCGGCGTATAAGACGACTTTTCACACCATAAATTTCTGCTCCTAAGTGGGGGGTCG